AGTTTCGTTCAATTAAGAAAGTACATAAACATAACATGTGTTATGGAGGGAGAGACTAATGTTGATGCTTAGTCCAAATAATATAAGATGTGGTACAACTAATAATTAAAGATAGTACATGAGAGGAGAGGGAGGTAAATAATGCATTGAGTAGTAGATTTCGCTGTGCACATATGACATAAACTGGATTGACTTTTATACAGTATTTTAAAACCTGAACTGGCCGGTAGATTGACTCGGGACCTAATTGACCCAAGCCTGGGACCGATCCGGGTGGAGGTAAAAACCCGCTTGGGAATTAGCCCAGGGAAACTTGGTCGACCCGACAGGTTGACCCGGGACCCAGTCCACCTAGTCAAATTCGGGTGAGACCCGATCAATTTTTTTATTTCCAGTTATTAAATGATGTTGTTTTGGCCTTTTGAAAGGCCAAAACGCTAAAGATTACAGAGTGAAGAAAAACAAAGCAGTATCACTTACAATTTGGAAACCTAATTAACTCAACTCTTTGAAACCCAGCTGAGGAGCAGAGGACGTCTTCGCCATTGATCGCTGAGAAGCTGAGGAGTAGAGGACATCTTGGCCATTAATCGCTCAGGAGTAGAGGACGTCTTTGAATCTCCTTCTGAAACGCAGTGTTTTTCGTACTCTCATTCTACGATGTACGCACACATCTCTCTATCTAGCCTGTGTTCAATCAGTCACCTTTTGGTTGCTTCCTGTCACTACCTCTTTTCTTCCTTCGACCTCCGCGTCTTGGCCTATTGCACTGGCTGCCTCTTCTGGTTAGTATTGCAACTACTATTTCTTTCATTCTTTTTGTCTCATATCATTGTTAGACTTGGAACTTTTGAAGCATAAAAGAGTGTGTGTGAGTGCAAGGACTATGAACTAACCCCTACCTAGTCAAAGGCATGTGCTTTATTTCATAAACATAAGGATTGTTAAATTGAAAATACAATTTGGGTTTTGCTCGTTTGATAAAAAACAATTAATTTCATGGTTAAAGCTTGAATTTTGATCTTTATAGATTAGTTTTTATCCACGGTTTTAGCTTGAATGAGGTTGATAGTGAACACCCAAATATCCAATATAGTTGTTACGGTATTACTATGATTTGGCAGTGAAAAGTGCATTATGTGGAGGTGTCTATATTGTGTGGAATTAGATTGTTAGTTTGTTACAATTGTGTTGAATTACATGCCAAAAAATGCTGCTATTTGTTAATTCTTTTGCCTAATCAGATTTGTTAATTTCCTAAAGCATTGTGTTGAATTTGTGCCACAGTAGTGAATCTGTATTGTGTCTGTATTTAGTATATTGTGTTGAATCTGCATTGTGTCATTGCATTGTTAATTCTTTTGCATTGAATGAAAACCATGGGGCTATCATGGTTAATTTCCTAAAGCATCAACTAAGTAGTCTTTTTCTGTTATGTATGATTAATAATGAGGTTGTCATTGTTAATCTAATGAATGGATTATAAAGTGAGTTAGCTTGAAATTATAGTCCCTCTTATAAATTATATCGGTTCTTAAAATGTCATCACAAGATGGTAGTACTCCAAGTAATGATCCTTTAACAGCCCAATCATCTCAAACTTTATATTCTATGTCAAGTGGTAGTAGAGGAAGAACAAATTTAGCATGGGGTCATTGTAGAGAAGCTCCTGAACTTAGTGTTGGATGTAAAAAAAACTAAATTAGTTTGTTTAATATTGTGCTAAAGTATTGCGAGTGGTGGTATTAATCAATTTAAGCAACATTTAGTTGGAGCTAAAGGAGAAGTTAAATAATTTCACAAATGTCCTCCTGATGTTCGACATCAAATGATTTTAAATCTTAAAGGAAATGCTGAAATAAAAAAAAGAGTTAGAAAAATACAAGCAGATTTCAATCCATTTAATGCACAATAAAGGAAGTATGAAGAGATGATGATTAAGCACTTAGAAGATTATGATGATGGTGATGATGATGATGATGAGGATGTCAATACTAAAAAGCATATGTTACTACTGAAGATTGCAAAAAAAAAAAAAAGATTTAAAGCACTAGCGTTGTAAAACAATCGACTACAAGTTATAAAAAGCAGAAGAAATTTACAACACTAGGGATATATTTCATGCAGAGAACAACTCCTAGTGCTCAAAAGTCTTTTTAGAATTGTTGGCAAATGAAGGAAGCAGTTGAATGGTGTGATCTTGCTTTAGCGAAGTGGATGATTAATGCATGTGTGCCATTTAATACTGTTAACTCTGTGTATTATCAGCATGCCATAGATGCTGTAATAGTCATGGGTCCTGTTATAAAGGACCAAACTTGCATGCTATTTGTGGTTATTACTAGGCAAAAGCGGTTGACGAAGTCAAGATTTATATTAAGACTTATCGAGAGATTTGGAAGAAGACTGGTTGCACATTAATGGCTAATGGATGGACAGATCAGAAGAGGAGAACTTTAATTAACTTTTTAGTATATTGTCCTAAAGGAATAGTTTTTTGGAAAACTGTGGATGTATCAGATGTCTCAAAGAATGCTAGATTGTTGTATCAGTTGTTTAGAGAGGTTGTTATGTATATTGGGGTAGAAAACATTGTGCATATGGTGACTAATAATGCTACAAATTATGTTGTTACTGGCAAGTTATTGATGGAAGAATTTCCTTCAATATTTTATTTTCCTTGTGTTGCTCATTGCATCAACCTCATATTCTAGAACATTAGTAAATTACAGTTAATTTGTTATGTTATTGAGCATGCTTCTGGTATCACAAACTACATTTATAATAATTGTTATCCATTGTATTTGATGAGGAAGTTCACTTGAGGAAAAGAAATACTTTGTCCAACTCCTACTCGTTTTACTACCAATTTCATTGCATTGCAAAGCATTTTAGCTCATAAAGATGAGTTCAGAGCTATGGTGACATCTAGGGAATGGGTCTCATCTGTTTATGCTAAAGATAGTAAAGGAAAAAAATTTGTTAAGAGTGTGCTAAACTCTCTGTTTTGGAAAGAATGTGCAATAATTGTGCGAATGAGTGAGCCTTTAATTCGAGTTCTATAAATGGTTGATGGTGATGATAGACCTTCGATGAGATATTTGTATGATATTATTCATTATGCAAAAAACGAAATGATAAGGAGATTTCAAAAGAGAAAGGCTAGAGTGAAACCTTTCATAGACATTATCAATAATCGGTAGGATGAACAATTTTATAGAGATCTTTATGCAACAGTATTTTAGTTGAATCCTCGATTTCAATATGATGTAAATATAATGGATAAACATATAAGCACCATTTTTGGACTTCTAGATGTTCTTGAGAAGTATGCATATGAAAATCTACCATTACAAAGTAAGATTACAAGTGAAATGAAGTTCTTTAGGAATGTTGAACATGACTTTGGTCGAGTGTCTGTAATAAATAATCGCACCCTTATGCCTCCACATATATAATTTTTATATTTAAAAATATTATTTGACATAGTCTCCTTTTACTTAATATTTTTTGTATAGATGAATGGTGAATAATATATGGAACCAATGCTCCAAATATACAACAGTTGGCTATACGAGTTTTAAGTCAAACTTGTAGTTCTTTGGGATGTGAGAGAAATTAAAGTGTGTTTGAAAATATTCATTCCAAGAAGAGAAATAGATTGGAGCATCAAAGACTTAATGACCTTGTTTACGTCCACTGCAATCTAAGATTGAAACAAAAGTATTTTTCTTTTCTCTAATTCCTTAAATGTTATTTTATCTTGTTTAGTAACATTATTAATATTTATATTGTGTTTATCTTCACTTTTAATATATAGGAATTATTGGAAAGGATGAAATTATGATCCAATTAATGTTGAGACAATTTGTGACATTGAAAATTAGGTGGTAAAAGATAACCCATCAATCTTGACAACTGTAGAAGCACAGAGTTTTCACCAAGTTCTATCAACTATGACCATACAAGATACTTTAGATGATGATAATTAATAATTGATTATTTAGTGATAGATATTATTTAAAATAAAATTTTGTTGAACACATAATATTTATTTATTAGTTGTGTTTGAAATGTAAATGTCATAAATATTAATAATATTGAAGATGATTGTGACGATGAAGTTTCAAAGGAGTATGCTGATAATTTATTAAGTGTTAACGAGATTGGCTCAATTTCATCGATATTTGATCCAAATTTTGCTCCTATAGACACATAAGAACTTAATGTGTTCATTTAACAAAAGTGAATGCGTTGTTGATTTAGAATTTATGTTGTTGGATTTTTTTAAAATATTTTAGAATTTATGTGGTTGAATATTTTGTTTTAAATATTTTAGAATTTAAATTTGGTTTATATTTTGAATATTGAATTAAATTTATGTTGGTTTATAATTTAAATTTGGTTTATGCAAGTGTTACACTGTAACTAGTTATGTGTTTTTTTATAGGTTTTTTTTTGTTGACCCAAGTCTACCCATCTGACTTGTAACCCGATCACTTGACCAAGTCAATGACCAGATCGGGTTTCAAAACTATGTTTTTATGATGTTATCAATGGTGATGGTTTTGAAAGGGCATGGATGGCTATCATTTATGAATTTAAATGAACCTAGCCAATTAATTAGAAAGGGTTGAACCTTAGCTTTTTCAGAAGACATGGCGATGAGCATATTGAAGGTTGCAGCTGCCGATTCCATCAAGATGTACGCTATTGGGATTTACAAGGGGTGGCAATACTGAAAGGGGATTTGTCATGGGTTGTGACGTGGAGGATATGTTTTCTGAAGTAGCAACGTGTGCAGTAGGCTTAAAATAGTAACGAGATGAAGAGAACAAAAATAAAGATTACCACTGCAAATCAGTTTTGTTTTGATGCAAAAAATAATGGTTTAAAAGTTTTAAAAATCAAGCTGTGATACCATAATAGAATAGGAGAAGGAACTGACAAAGAGAATGAGAAGAGATGCCAAGAACTTAAAAAGAAAGATGGACTGCATACGCATCGGCTCATTAGAATGATCACCAACCGAAACTATTCAATACTTAGTTGCTAGATCAGTAACCAGTGGTTATTTCTATAATAAAAATAGGAAATCCAATGGAAAAATAAAAAAAGAAAGTAGCTAAAAAAGGATAATCCAAAAGTAGGTGTAAGGAAATACATAACAGCTCATCTTTTCTGTCCATCTTAGATTAGCATCACATGCTGCTGTTTGCATGGATGAAAGTGAATGCATGTTGAACTGAGCTTGCTATGTCTTCTGCTGTGAACCTAGATTCACTTTCAATCTGAACAAAAGAAGAAAGTTACTGTATATTCAAGATTGATTCGTTTTAAAAATAAGGCTGTTAAATGAACAAACAGCAGCTGATTTTTTATACCTTGGCATTAAATGAATAGAGAACAGTTTGTTCAATGGTGGTAATGCTGGTGTGGTGTATGTTAAGCTGCAAATCTTCCAGTGCTGCAATGGTCTCAATCAGCTGACCTGGCCTTCTCCTAGAGAGGATCTTGATCATTGCATCAAACCCTAGAAGCTTCACTTCAACATCAGCCAAGCAAGACTTGTTCTCAGCGGTTTCTTCACGGAGTTCAGTCTCGAGATCCAGAGTCTTCATTTGATCATTTGGTTGAGGCATAGGAGGAAAGAATGGACGATGAGGTTGTTGGATTGCAAGAGCTGAATCCTCCATTAGTCTTTGCCGCTTCTGGGATTCGAGGCATTGAAGTAGTTGCTCCAATTCTCTAACGAACACTATCGCTCCACCAATTATTGAAGCTTGATCTCCCTGCATATCCACAAAAACCATTATGATCTTGTTATAGAATTCCCTCAAAGCAGAATGGTTTCCATTTTTTTGGTAGTTGATCTTAAAAATCAAGATCTGTTTAATGAAAACAAGCAATTTTTTTTCTCTTTTCTTGAATGGAACGCATAAAATCTGATGCTTTTTCATTTTTTTATTGAACAGAACTTAAAATTTGATACCCTTTGTACATAAGATCCTGGCATGAAAGACCTCAAGACTCGAAGATGTTCATTCATTTGCTTTCTTCGATTTCTTTCAACTGCAATATGAGTCATTCTTTGGCTCTCAACTTCCTCACTTGTCTTGATAGTTCTTGGCCTTTTTCTCTTGTTCTTCCCCTCTGGTATAGGGTTCTTGTTTTGAAGATCTTGATCTCCAAGAAACTGAAGTTGCACCGAGTTATTATCCCAAAGCCTAGCTTCTTCATCTTCCCTAACACCCCCCTCTTCCCCGACCATTCCTTCCCTGTGTTCATCACTACTCACTCCTGTAAACCTCTCATCATTTTCTCCACCTAGTTGAGGGACCATTAGAGATTGTTCCTCAATCTTTTCGTTCAAAACCGGAAACTTGAGGAAGTACACTGGATCGATCCCAATTTCTTCCTCAGATATCTTGGTTTGATTTAAGGCCAACTTAGGCCCAAAGTCTGCAAATTGCATCACATCAGCGAAGCTCAATTTATCGAAAGAAGTAGAAGTACAAAACCCAGGTGACATTTGTGGTTGATGAGGATTATTGAGCATATAATAAATCATCCCAGTGTTGCTGTCATCATCACCAGAAGTTTCAGCTATCCGCGGCTTCATGAGTTCGTGGTGCTGTGGTGGTTGATGAAGATGATGGTCTAGAGAGTAATCTAGCCCAGCAAAACTTGCCTGCAAGTAGTCAAGCTCGAAGCAAAATAACATCGTGGTGAATTGATTTATCAACAAAAACATACAAATAATACTACCACTGAGAGCTAAGATACCAAGTAGTTCTCTTCTTTATCCATTGCTATATATATGTGAATGCCTTTAATCGACAACCCTCATGCAAGGACAAGCTAGCCCTAGCTAGCTAGTCAAATTTCCTTAACTTGGTCCACCTGAAAAAAAAAACAAATTAAAAAAAAAATGATGACTCCATCAAATTAACAGCAAGTAAATATTATAGCAATAACACTAGCCACTAATATATACGTGTGCGCGCGTGCGTGTAGCTGTAATTACTAACGCTAGGTTTTGATTAGAGTACAAAAAATATGAAACAAAGTTGCGTGGAAGTGATTGGAAATAGAAGCTGCCACAATAACCTGATTGGAGAGAGACCATACAGTGAGAGTATAATAAGACAATGGTGAAAATTAAGTGGGGATATGATATTTTGAAGAGCAGAAGAAGCATGGGGTACCACCATGGAAGTTGATATTATATCAACTGAAAGTTTCTTGGATTGGGGTGGTGAGTGTTGTCTTTATATAATGGGCCAAGATTGCCTGGAAGAGCTGGCTTTGACTTGAAGACTTGAAGAAAGAGACAGGAAGAGAGATGATCCTTTTGGATTAATGTCCACCTCACTTTCACCTCTCGTTATTTATGGGTTTCACAGGCCAACAACGCTCTTTCCATTGTTCTTACCACCTCTATTCATGACTCTAATTAAAGATGGAAGGTTGCAGATTTGTTGATTTAACTTTTACCTTTGAAAATGAGATGATATATGGATTATTATTTTCTTGATTTCACCGCTAGAAAATTAATAAATATAAATAAAAATATTAATTAATTTTTTTGATAGATTATAGTAAACTTTACCGATAGAATAATTTTTCATTGTATCCATTCGTAAACATCGTCAAAAATATTTTTTTAATATATACCAACAGAATTACAGTGAAAAAAAAAGAAAAAGTATGATAACATATCATTTTTATAAATAGACTTATTAGCAGATTTATATTTGTTGATTAAATCAATTAGTAAATACATTTGTAATATTTAATTTATAACCTACTGAACAAACCTCCTCTTTTCCTCTCTTATATTTTTTTTCTTCACAATTAATAAACAACACAACCCCATTAATTTTATCACAAGTCAACCTCCCAATACAAATAATCACCACAACACTCAGTTTATCAACACTCCTATTCTGATTCAAATTTTATTGAGGATTTGTAACCTCAAGTAAGCAAAACTATCCATTTTTTATATGAACTTAATTTTAAAATGTTAATTTTTATTGTATATTTTTATAATATATGTATATTGTTCGGGTGTTTGCTTATTTTATAGTTTTTCCCCATAGAAATTTATTGTATAAATTGATGATTTGTACATGTTGGAGTTTCTTTAAGATTTTGTAAAATTGATTTTTTTTTTGTAAATTGATGAAATTTAATTTGAATTTATGGCATAGGCGTTTTGTGATGAAATAAATAATGGCTTATTTAATGTCTTCGCTTTATATTTTATCAATTTTATTATTGAATTGAAATTTTCAATAAATGTATAGAAATTTGAATTTATGTAAGGAATTGATAATGAATTAGTTTTACTATTAAACTAATTTGAATAAGTTTGAGTTAAACCAATATTTTGTTATTTATTTAGTTTACAATTAATTAATACTTGTTGTTATCAATATTTTATGTAAGTATGATAACAGTAATTGATTATTATTTATGGATGTATCGAGATTTACCTGAAGGGGTGCATAGAATGGACTATTGTAATGGAGTTTAGAGTTTTATTAAATATGCACTATCTAATCCGAGAAATATTAGTGGAGGTGGTATTAAATGTTCATGTAAGATGTGTAAAAATAAAAAGTTTATCAATCCAAATATTGTAATGATGAATCTTCAATAAAAAGGATTATTAGATGTTCATGTAAGATGTGTAAAAATAAAAAGTTTATCAATCCAAATGTTGTAATAATGAATCTTCAATAAAAAGGCTTCACAGAGAGATACTGGTATTGGTATACATACGAAAAACCATATATTCCTCACAAGACCTTGGTAGAAAGAATGATTAGGTCAACTTCTAGTTCTAGAAATATGCATAAAGTTGTAGATGACAATAGTAATCTTTATAGGAATATGATCATAGATGCGATGGAAATGAATCAAGGTTATGTCGGTCAATGTCCAATAGTAGATGAAGAACCTAATATAGGCAGCCAAGCAGCCAAATTTTTTAATCTTTTAAAAAACTTTAACAAACCATTATGGAATGAGTGTACAAGTCATAATAAATTATTGGTTATTGCATAAATATTCACCATCAAGTCAGATTATGAGTTAATTGAGGTCGATTACAGCAGAATTACCGAATGGGTGAATAGTATTTTACTTAAAAGAAATAGGCTAGAAAAGAACTTTTATGTTACTAAATCTATGATAAAACCCAGTGATCTAGAATACGAAAAAATTGACATTGGCCCAAACTTCTACATGTTATACTACCTTAAAAATATAGAGTTGATCGAATATAGAACATATGAGCATGCTCGTTATAAACTCATAACTAGTAGGGGAAAGACTTTTATCATACATATAAAACTTAAATACTTATCAATCACACATAGACTGCAAAGGTTATTTATGTCACCAAAGATTGTTGAGCACATGACATGACATCATTCATATGATATAGTGGATGGAGTAATGGTGTACTCTTTTGATGGTAAAGCCTAGAAACATTTTAATATGGTGCATCTTTAATTTTTAGTGGAATCAAGCAATAAACATCTTGGGTTATATACAAACAGATTCAATCTATTTTGGTCATTTACTACTCTTTATTCTTGTTGACCGGTGATACGCACTGTTTATAACTTGCCACTATGGATGTGTATGAGGTTAGAGTTTATGTTTTTATCTATGACTATACTTGATTCTAATAGTCCATATTGGAATATAGATTTGTCTATTGATGGATGAGTTGAAACAGTTGTGGTCATCCAAGACTTTGACATATGATGTATTCAGGAAATAAAATTTTCAAATGAAGGCGGCTTTGATATAAACAGTTAATGATTTTCCTGTGTATGGAATAGTTTCTAGTTAGAGCATAGATGTAAAACTAGCATATTCATATTGTATGAAAAATAACAAGGCCTTTACGTTAATAAATGGCGAGAAAGTGTTTTTTTTTTATTGTTATAGGCAGTTCTTACCAAAGAATCATAAGTACAAAAAGGACTTTTCTATTGACAGAGTTGAAAGAGAGATTATATCATTGCTACTATCGAGTGGAGAATTGTATGACGTGGTGTCAGAGTACGATGATATTGTGTTTGATCTTTAATCCGATAAGCAAAATTTTCCTGGTCCTGATTTGATCTATAATTGGGTAAAGTGAAGTATTTTTAGAGCTTCATTATTGAAAGACCAATATCCCTTGTTATAATCTTGATGTCATGCATATTAAAAATAACATGTTTGAAAATATTTTCAACACAATTATAGATGTGAAAGGAAAAACAAAGGACAACATCAAAACTAGAATGGATATATGTTTGTTTTCTTTATCGTAAAAATATGGAGTTGGTTTATGATAAGTCATAAGTCGCATATCCAAAGCCAATTTCTCTTTAGACAATAATACACAGTTACTTATCTACCAATGACTTAAAAGTCTGTGTTTTCTTGATGAATATTAATAGTGGTGATATTTTAATGTAACACTACTAACATTCAAGAGAATAGTACCATGCAATTTATAACTTCTTTTTCTTCTATTTTTATATTAGAACTCTAAAATATAGGTGCTGAATTAATACTTTTATAAGCAAACTAGTAGCATAATTGGATTCTCATGTAAAGACAATTAAGAATTTTTTTGAAATTGATTAATGTTCATTATAAATTTTAAATTTGAAGTCTGATAAAAAAATTTATAACTCTCATTTGTTAGCATGCATATTTTATGTTAAATAAATAAACCAACTAATATATTAAGAAAAAGGAATTCATTTAAAACTTAATTCATATTTTGAATAGAATTCAAACTGAATTATGGGTGTTAGAGGTGGAATGTCATGATGTTATGAAATCAAATTAAGATAACAAACTACTTAAGCTACTAGGTTCCTAGGTTATCAGTCTAACTAATAGATCCAATGTAGAAAGTTCTAATCAATCGAATATGGATTTACTATATTTAAACCATATAGATAAACTAGTATATATGTATTTGGACCATATATAGGTCCAAACTTAAGAAGAGACTAGATCATGCTAAACTACCTTTTTATGGAAAGGTTCACAACTTTTGATTTAATGGTTGGATCATATTTAATTTTTTTCAAGAGATTCTACAGGCCTAGTCTTGTAATAAGATGACTTGTTATAATCAGCTGATATTAAGAAGGCCTTTAAATTAGGCTTATAAGATGCTATTTTATTAGTTTTGTTATGTTCCTAGTTAATTTTGGAATTTAAGCTTAATTTTCAGGTTTTATCACGTTCTTCTATTTGAATTTGAATTTTGATTATTCTTTTTTTTGTAAAAGTCATTTTAAGGCCTATATAAGATATTGTAATCTTTGTTTTGAGGGCAGACTATTAAAAGAGAATTATTTAGTAATAAAACTACAACTTAGAATTTTTATGTGATCTTTTTTAGAAAAGTTTGGCTTTCTTTATCTTTGATTCTTATTCATTAGGTTCAGTGATGTATTTGGTCTCATATTCAAATAATTATTTATGATTTGTTGTTATATTTTGTTGAATAACCATGTTTAGAAGAGGTTGCAAGATAAGGTGTGTTCATATAAAAGGTGATGAAGAGGTTCTACCTTTAAAACAAATGTCCAAGAGTGCAAAATTAATGAACTAACAATTAAAGATCTATGAAAGCAGATTGCAACATTAACTCATTGAATGGTAAGGAGAGACTGTAAAGCAAATTATAGAACTAATACATTGAATGGTAAAAAGAAACCTGGTAAATCTTGAGAAGAGTGATCATGGGTCCGTGGCTAATTTTGAGAACCTGTTTTAGAGGTGTAAGTAAATAAGGTGGCCTAGCCTCATAATTGAAAAGAATATGATATTAAAACTGAAATTTTTATAATTCTTGTACCTTTGATTGGAATAAACCATAAGAAATTAATGGGGAAAAAGTTAAAGATATCATTGAGCTTTAGGATTGCGAAAATCCTAAGATTCTTATAAATTAGGATCTCCAAGGATTCTCTTATACATATGAAGAATATTTTGATACTTTAAAAGAATTATTTAGAGCTAACTTCAAAGATATTGAAGTAATAAAAATTTTCAGCTAGGAAATAATCAATGGACCAGCCTGCTATTCCTTGCCAATGGTCAAAGGTCCAAAGTTGACATTTTAATAATTTCAAGTTGGTTTTAGTGCCATCATCAAAGATGTGTTGTCAAAAAAGAACACCCTAGTTATCATCAAGGGCAATAATCTCATGTTAGATTATAATTTCAATGCTGAGTTAGAAGATTTTAGTTTAGATATGCATTGGATAATAAGAAGATATCATATAAAGAGCTAAAGAAAATGTCTATTTTGA